TACTCTATATATCCTGAGTCAGAGTGCTCATTTAGTCAAGTACCATCCATCTCCACATGGGGATGAAGGTGTGACTACACAGAGCTGTTTAGTATGTGCCTAGCCCTGTGACTTCTGGCGTGTCTGTTTTCACTGTCTAGTCTTCTCTGCAGAAATGTCTTCACACCTCACTCACACTCATCCTTGACAGTGACTCAGCTCCTGCTTCCATTAGAAACCCAGTTTTGTCCTCCCTGTGAAGGTTCCTTGTTGCCACCTCTTCACCACAGCCCTTAATTTGAACCCCTGTTGGTCTACCCTGTGCCGCTGACCTCATATCTGTTTCGCCTAGTCCAAACAAAAAACCAAAAGACCCAACTTACGTTATCAGGCTTGTACGGCAAGTCTTTAGCAGCTGAGCCATTTCACTGGCTCCCTTATCCTTTTTGGCAGACTGAACTTTGGACTCGTTTTATCCTTTCATAACTACCAGGAAGTTAATACTACTTGAGTTGTAGAAATATGTTATGTGTTGCACAGCAGGAAACTTCCAGAAGACCAGCAACTGCTGCTGTTAAGTGTTGTGATATGGGCAGGTTTAAGTGGGCCTAGTTGCAGTCTAGGAGTGAAAGACAAAAGTGAGTGCTTTTCAGTTTGGGGAGTGCTTGGGTCTCCGAAGAGAGAGCTGCGAACTCCCGATAAGAAGAGAAGAATGTGCTACTCCCCAGATTTTCTGAATGGGAAGACTGCCAGTGTTACGTCTCCCAATGCTTCCGTTTTCTTGTACAATCTGGTACAAACAAAACACTAGAATTTAAAAAAAGGAGAGAGGAAATGTGGGTGGGGAGGCTGAACTTAAAATTCATTTACTAACAGGAACATTCAACATTCCTGATGAAAGGCTGGTGTTTCACCAAAAGACTTTTATCCATATTTTTTCTTCATTTATTTAACAATTGTTATTAAGAATCTATAGTTCACCCAAGTAATGTAATTTTCAGTTTTTTCTGGCATATAGATTCATATTTTTCTTTTTAAACTTATGTCATAGAATTTTCTTCATGCCATTAAATATTATCTTTCCAGCCAGGAATGATGGTTTATACCTGTAACCTCAAGCTATAGAGGAGGCCAAAACTATAAGTTTGAGGTTAGCCTGGGCTACAGAGTAAGACTCTGTCTCAGAAAAAAAAAAATCACTTAGTGGTTCAGTAGTGTTTCAATATATAGATATTTCTTAATTTATTTAATTAACCCTTTTGTGGTACATTTAGATTTTTCCAATTCTGTCTATAATATTTAACCCAAAGAATACTATATGCCATGGAGAATCTAGGCTGACCTCCAATGACTTCCACCTTGTATTATTCCCTTCCTGTAAACACGATGGGATAACATTTCCAAAATCATGTAATATTACCTGCAAGGGGATTTTTACAGGTGTGGTTAAGGTAGCTAATTAGTTGGCTTTGAGTTACTGAGCTAATCTGGGTGAGTGCAACTAACGTGACCCCATGAAGCCTTTAAAAGCAGTTAGGAGAGGAAGTCAAAGAAAGTCAGAGTGTACAAGGGCCTGGACAGGAGAGTAGTCTCTGTTGTGAAGACTAGAGACAAGGACATGATGGAGGGCTCTGAGTGCAGAGAGTGATCTGGTAACAGCCACCAACTAAATGCTGGGGCTTCAGTCCTACACAGCAAGGAATGACCTCAGTGAGACTTGGCGCTCATTCTTTCTCAGAGCCTCTCGATAAGAGACTAGCATCCTGATCTCTGCCTTGTGAGACCCTAAAGACCAAGTGAGTTCCCTGGACTTCTGAAATCATAAATGGTTGCTGTGCTGGTTTGGAGTACTTACTGTTCTCGAGAGAGGGCCTTGTAGACCTCCCTCTTGTAAAGGCTCAGCTCCCAGCACCCACATGGCTCACAACTCCCAGGAACTCCAATTCCAGACAGAATTATAGATACAGACTTTGTAGATTAAGAAGTTATTGTTGCCGGGCGGTGGTGGTGCACGCCTTTAATCCCAGCACTCGGGAGGCAGAGCCAGGTGGATCTCTATGAGTTCGAGGCCAGCCTGGGCTACCAAGTGAGTCCCAGGAAAGGCGCAAAGCTACACAGAGAAACCCTGTCTCGAAAAACCAAAAAAAAAAAAATTAAAAAAAAAAAAAGAAGTTATTGTTTAAAGCGTTTCCTCTTGTATTGCTAATTTGCCTTCCATAAGCGTTGTACCAATTCTGTGCCTCCTAAAAACATATGTAACAATATCCTGGACAACACTAGATGCTACCATTCTCCTAGGGAAAACCAGAAACATGAAAGAGGACTCGTATTATTCTTACCACTTGTAGGGTTCTCTAGGGAAAGGCCTATTACTTAGTTTAATTGTTGACATTGAAAAATATTTTCTAACTCATAGGACAGCATTTTTCGGCTTAATGTGTTCAAAGGGGAAATGAATTCTGAGCTTATTAAAAGGATGAGCATTCAGTGAATATTAGTTACTGCCATTATTTCTTGCAAAAACCAACACCAGCCATTACCCTATGGGAGGTGGGATAACATCCATTTTATTAATTAGGTAGTACCGTGTTTATACTTTTCCAGGGGAAAGGTCTAGTTTGTCTGGCTTACATCACATATTTGATTGTTTTAGGAATTTGTTGTATTTTGCTATGGAAATTTGACTTTTGTTGTTGAAGGAAATGATACTGTTGAATATCTTCCTAATTAAAGGTACTGATAAAGATGACCTGGTCTCTGTGATTGTGCATACGAGCTTAATGTTCATTATCTGAAGTGCTTCACGCAAGTATTTCAGAGTGTGAGTCTTTTATTTGGAATATTTGCATAGATTCTACAGGGTGGACATCCTTAATCCGTAAGTCTGCTGGATTTAAGATTTGGAGATTAGAGATTTTCAATTTGTTTTTTTTTTTAATTGCTTTAGTTAGGATGAACAAAGAGAGGAAATTCAAGTTATCATTTCTGTAGCCATTGTTTATTTTTTGACAAGTAAAATAAGGTGGGAGGGAGGGAGATGTTTTCTGAATGCTAATATCAAACTAATAAGAGCAAAATATTTACCTAAAAGATAGTCAACAGATTTATAAGAAAATATGCAAAGAGTCCCCATATAAATGAACAATGTTCTAGGAGTTGAGAGGACTCAGTCAAATGGTCAAATCCTGTTTACTTAGAAAGCCTAGCTTTCCCTAACAGTTAGCTAAAGATGCCATGGCTGTTCACAGCATCCATAATGATCTATTCTTCCATAGGAACCTGATATTGCCTTTAAAGTGTGTTGTTGTTAGGGCCGGAGAGGTGGATCAGTAGTTAAGAACACTTGTTCTTACATAGGACCCAGGTTTGGTCCCCAGCACCCATGGCAGCTAAACATCTGTAACTCCAGTCCCAGGGGACCCAGTGCCTCTTCTGACCTCCACAGATTCCTGGGCCCATGCATACACATAAAATAAAAATAAACATTTTTAAAGTTGTAAGTTCTATGTAGGTACTATAGGTGCTGACTTGGATTGGTGCAGAGAACACAGAATGTAAACTATGGTCAGAGAAGGCCTTATCAATATGATTCAAGTATACTCTAATATAAAGAATAAAATATAGACTGGATATTAAAAAGACTAGATCTAAACTGCGTTCCAATCACATTATAACTGTGTGACCATTAAAACTCAGCTTTACCTTCCTCCTTAGTTACTTGGCATATAGGCAGCAAAGAGATTTGAAAACCAAAGCCTTGTTGATGTTATTATTAAGACCTTTTTGCAACAACAATTTAAAAAAAAAACCTATGCTGTAATTCCTGTTATTCAGAATTACTTCTCTAAGTTAGAAAACGGGCAGAAGAATTTTAACAAGATTGTGTGAGCTGGGCACACCTGCAATCCCAACACTCAAGAAGCCGAGGTATACAGGTTATGAGTTCAAGGTCAGCCTAGACTTTTTAGAAAGATCCTATCTTAAAAAAAAAAGCAAAAAGATGTAGCTTGTCGTCTGGGAATCCTGGAGACACAGCAAGAAGACTGGTGCCCACATAATAATGTCCACTTATCACATTAACTTCTTGTTGTCTTGGCTGCGGCATGTCCAGAACAGACAGATTCTGGTAAGAGAGCTAGTGTCTGGGAAGTGACGGTGAGCCTGTCTGGAGCTGTTGTGGAATATTACTTTAACTATGTAAAGATGTGTTAAATTTGTTTATATTGCATTTGTTTAACTATGTAAAGATGTATTACATTTGTTTATGCTGTATTTGTTTAACTATATAAAGATGTATTACATTTGTTTCACCTTGCCTAATTAAGTCACCTGATTGGTCTAGTAAAATGGTGAACCGCCAATAGCTAGGCAATAGAGGGATAGGCAGGGCTTGCAGGCAGAGAGAACAAGTAGGAGGAGGAATCTAGTAGGGGGTTGGAAGGACGAGAAGAGAAGAGGAGGGGGCATGTGAGGGGGAGGGGGGAAGATGCCCCAGGCCAGCAGCCAGGCAGCAGCCAGCCAGGCAGACACGGAATAGGACATACAGAACGAAAGGTAAAAAGGCCCGAGGCAAAGCACAGATGAAGAGAAACAGGTTAATATAAGTTATAAGAGCTAGTGGGACACGCCTAAGCTAAGGCCAGGCATTCATAATTAATAAGTCTTCGTGTCATGATTTGAGGGCAGACGGTCCAAGAAAGCCTGCTACATGGAGTCCTGTGGCTGTTCTCACTGCTGCTGCTTAAAAAGAATGAGGCTTGGCAAGGAGGAGGACTGATTGGCTAAGAGTGCTTGCTGTTCAAGCATGAAGACCTGTGTTGGAGCCCTAGCGCCTACCTAATAAGCCATGCAATAGCTGCATTCACCTGTAACTTCAATGCTTGGGGTGGGTGTGGAGACAGATGGCCAGCCTAGATGAAAATGGCGAGCTCCAGGTTCAATGAGAGACTTGGTCTCAAGTAAAGAAAAGGACACCCAACGTCCCCCGCCCGCCCCCCCCCCCCCACACAGAGCAATGTTTCCACTCTATTTTTGTTATTCAAGTCCCCAATTCTGCAATTTACAGATGAAATGATGAAATTATCAGCCCACTCGTTGGAAACTTTAACAAGTGCTGCTGGGCATGGTGGTTGCATACTGTTAAATCTAGCCAGTGCTTTAGCAGCTGAAGGAGAGGATGGCAAGTCCAAGACCAGCCTGGCCTATATGCGAGTGTGTGTGTGTGCTTGCGCGTGCGCATGTGTGTGTGTGTGTGTGTGTGTGTGTGTGTGTGTGTGTGTGTGTGCACGTGTGTGCTCTTGTGCCCCTTGCGCTCTCACTGAGTGTTACAGAGTGTGCAGCAACTCTCTGAAGTCAGTCCTGCAGTTTTCCTCCTTTTACAGATAAAGAGATGAGGCTTTTAAGTTAGGTGACCCAGGACCACTAAGTACTAAATGGCAGTCACTTCTCAAGATCCATCTTGCACCAAAGCCCATGTCTTTATACTATGGCAAGACACTTTTCCACACATAGACAGCAGAGGGCCTGAGAGGGCAGGAACCACGATCTTTCTACTTCCTATTTTAGTCTAGATAATTTTCTACATTATATCCTCTTAATAATGTGTTTATTATGATGCATGTTCTCAAGCAACACTGACCTGTGTATAGTCAGGTACTGTACTAAACTGATGTAAACATTATTGGATTGTTTAGCTTTGAGGGAGATTAGGGTTTAGATTTTTTTTAATGGAATTATTGAGCACTTGATTTGAGTATTTCAATGAAGCAGACTCCTATGAAGAAGTCTGTCTCCCATGTGCTATTAAAAATTGACTGTCTATTTTTCCTCTTAGAGGAGTCAGAGGCTACCGCCTGACCTCATGGAGAAAACAGCCACCAAGGATCTCTCCAGGATCGTTTTTAGTTCATTAATTTTGGCAAGCACACATTTTCAAAGCAGATTAAATTTGTCCGATTTATTTTAGAAGTATGTATTTCAAAGCACAGGGAGGCTCCAAACCCACAAAGCAGATCTGGGGAGGTTTCGTGGAGAGTGGTTCAGGAGGTAAGTGTTCACCTGCAAACGTTGGTCCCTGCGTTTCAGAAACTTCTTCCCACCCTTTTCTTGGTCGCCCAGAGTGGCCCAGTGTTTTCTTGATATCCAGTTGACATATTGCTAAAATGCTACCTTCCCCCTGTCATTTTCAAGAAAGAAGTAGAAGGAGCATGCCACTCTTTTTTTCCCCTGTAACTCTGAAGAAGCTAGAACTTCACAGGTGATGTTTTGCATGGACACTTTTTAAAGTTTGTTTCTTCTTATCTTTGAGGCTGGCTGTGGAGAATTAGTAAAAGGTTGAAGCATGCATGGATAAAATGGATCGTCTTAAAGGATTGCAGCTCCAAAAATACATCAGCAGGACTGGGCAGGTCTGACATAATGAGCTTCCTATTTTAGCTTGACTTCTGGAACTCCGAAGAACTATAAATTGAGCCACACAAGACCCGAGGAAGGAGGTGCCTCTTTTAGTCGCATATAGAATTTTCTTCAGGCTCTGAAAAGATATATCTAGTTGTTGGTTTCCTAAAGAATTAGACTGTTGATACCTACCAACTTTAATACAGGAAATGACAGATAGGAAGCCCTGGTCCATACCGTACTGAAAACTGAATTTGGCTACAGAAACTTGTACCCGGAGGTCAGAGACGAGGTCCTCACGAGCAGCAGCTACAATGGCAGAGGCTCCTGCGGATGCCGTGACTCAGCCAGTAACAGTGAAGAAAAAGAAGAGTCTCTCCATTGAGGAAAAGATTGACATCATCAACGCAGTGGAAAGTGGCAAGAAGAAGGCAGAGATCGCAGCTGAGTATGGAATAAAGAAAAATTCATTGTCTTCCATTATGAAAAACAAAGACAAAGTTCTGGAAGCCTTTGAATCTTTGCGATTTGATCCGAAAAGAAAAAGACTGAGGACGGCATTTTATACGGATCTGGAAGAGGCATTGATGAGATGGTATCGGATTGCCCAGTGTCTCAATGTTCCAGTTAATGGTCCAATGTTGCGTCTAAAAGCCAATGATTTTGCCCAGAAGCTGGGACACAATGATTTTAAGTGCAGCAATGGTTGGCTGGATCGTTTTAAGTCCAGGTATGGCTTAGTATTCCGAGCACAACCTGTAGAAGCCACGGGTATATCTATAGACCCTGCCACTGTCTGGTACCAAAACGTGCTTCCTTATTACTTAAATGATTATCATCCTAAAAATGTGTTCAATGTCAAAGAGACTGGGCTGCTTTATCGAATGTTACCTACAAATACATTTGCATTTAAAGGAGAAACCTGTTCCGTTGGAAAGCTGTGCAAAGATAGGATAACGCTGGCAGTAGGTTCAAATATGGATGGCACAGAGAAGCTTCCTTTGCTTATTATCGGGAAAAACCAAGCTCCACGTTGTTTCAAAGGTATCAAATCACTGCCTGTGTATTATGAGGCTAACAAAATGGCATGGATGACCGCAGCCATATTTGAACAGTGGATGCAGAAGCTTGATGAGAAATTTCAAGCCCAGCAACGAAGAGTGGTGATTTTTGTTGATTCTTTTCCAGCACACCCAGAAGTGAAGAACCTAAAGTCCATTGAGTTAGTATTCTTCCCATCGTGCTTGTCTTCCGGGTTTGTAGCCATGAAACAAGGTGTTATTAAGAGCCTTAAAATCAAATATCGGCATTGCCTTATCAAGAAATTCTTAAGTTCTGTTGAAAGTAGCAAAGAATTTACATTTTCTCTACTAGATGCTGTTGATACGCTGCATCTCTGCTGGAGAGCTGTAACCCCAGAGACCATTGTTAAAAGCTATGAAGAAGCAGGATTCAGGTCTCCACAGGGGGAAAGTGACCCGCCCAATGCAGAGAGTGACACTGCTCTTGACCTGGCTGCCCATGCTCTGGGGGCAGGAGTGGAGTTTCCTGAAGGCTTGTCCCTAGAGGAATACGCTGCCCTGGATGAGGATCTGGAGACTTGTGAAGCCACCCCAAATGATGATGCCGAGTGGACCAAAGAAAGTAAACAAGATGAAGCTGGATTTTTTGCTTCTGATGAAGAGGAGGAGGAGGACAGCGGAGCTCCAGAAGTGGACCTGCCCTTACCGTCCAAGAATGAAGCAATGGAAGCTGTAGGCACTCTTAAAAGGTTTCTTAGAAGTCACGATATGAACGATGAACTTCACAATTCTTTAGCAGACCTTGAAAACTTTATTAACACTTTGTCACCTAAATAGTCATGTATTGTACATCGGCGGAGCAGGAACTTTTCCTGGTGTATCTTATTGCATAAGGAACATAAAAGGAAAGTGTCAGTTAATTAAATAAGAAAAGAGAAAGCCTAACAATCCTTGACTTAATTGCAGCAGCCTTTGATTTGAATAGCAAAGCTCTCTGGTAAATAATGACTAAGTGAAACTGCAGAATTCTGCTTAGCAGGTTTGGGGAGAATAAAACTGTCTTCAGAGGCTTTGTACTTGAAAGAGACAGGGTATGTTTGAAAGAACTCTTCAGCTGGCTAACTCACATGCATGAAGTTGCTGGTTTCTGTTTTCTTTGTTTTTAAGTTCAGATCATGTTCTAGAATATTTTAGTTTATCTATATAGTCTAAGAAACAGAAATAGCTTGCTTATTTTTATAAAGTTACACACACACACACACACACACACACACACACACATATGCCATCTGTATCCTAATGAGTTCTTTTATTCTCTTTTGTTTTTTGGTTGGTTTTTTAAAGACAGAGTCTCACTATGTAGTCCAAGCTGGCCTCAAACTCATGGCAATGCTCCTGCCTCAGCCTCTCAAATTCTGGGATTGTAGGTGTAAGTCATCATGCACAGTTCTAATTAAAGTTTTGAGTATCAAAGTAGTGTAAAATTATGCTACAATTAGTTAATCTTCCTGATTGAAAAATATTCTGAAAATACATTCTAATCTGCCTGTGCACCAAGATGACACACAATGTAACTTTTGCTGCTTTCAAGTAACTTGTCAAATTAAGTCAAATGAAAAGCAGTTGCTCTGTAGGGCTTCCTGTCATCTGTCACCAGGAGCTATGGGTCCTTCTGTTATATATACATGTGTGCTTGTTTAGTGGGAAAACACTTGAAGGAAACACTTATTAAATTCATATATTAGAATAGGGTAAACTCTTGAGCCAATTGAAGGTACACATAGAGTTACCAAAAATTATGGTGCTTGTTTTTTTTAATTACAACAGCTGAACTTTTAATCTAAATTTTGTTCTTGATTTTACTGAAATTTATTTTCAGCAATAATGATAATTAGTTGTCTTCCTCCAATTTTTCTTTCTCTAAAATTTTTATTAAAATTGTTAGAGAAAGTTTTATCTATATGTTGCATTAAAATAACTGTAGGAAATTACCTAATCACCATCTAAAAATAGTCATTGAGCAAAATTTCAACAATGTATCAGTTTTTCCTAGTGTTCAGTTTTAAGTAGCATGTTTATTTAACTTATTATACCTAATTTAGGTTCTGTTGCAAAGTATTTTATAAAAATACAAAGCATAGTGATTTGTTGTGAACTATTAATCTGCCAAAAGATCATATACTTAGAAGAAAATAATTTAACAGAGCATTTTTATTTTCTATTACTGATTTGCTCTGCTCTGAGGATTTAGTAATAGTTGAGCCTTACAATGTATTAATATTTTAAAGGTTTCTTTTATTATTAAACATGGACTATTTAAATTAAAAGCATTTTGTGATTTGATATGTAATTTTAATTTGGCTCAATCATGGACCTAAAGGAGTTCTTGAGAGCCCATTTGTCCCTCAAGAAAAAATTACTTGCAGTTAGTCTGGTTTTAAAATAAATGTTTTTGTTTCCATTGTTTTGGCTTTATAAACTCTTGCTGTCTCAACAGTGTTTTTTACTTCTTATTAACCAAGAACAAATCTTGTATTGCATTTAGGGCATTTTTCACTGTGTGTCCCTTCTGAACTAGTGGAAGGTTTGCTTCAGGCTAACACAGGAGGGTGTGTAGCCAGCGTTTGGGGGGTCCTGTTGCCTGCCTGACTCCTGTGTAGACTGAGCCCCCACTGCAAACCTTCTTTTCACTGTCTGGGAGGCAGATCAGCTGGGAGGGGGAAGCAAGGAGAGAGGAAAACTAAAGGAAAGCCATCCAGACAGACACTTCCCAGTTAAGAGGAACCCATCTACTAGACCAGATGATGGCAGGTAGAGTTGGGAAGCAGACTTCTGCTTTCAGGGTCACAGGCAGCAGAGAGCCGGGCTCCCTGAAGTAAACAGCACCGAGGGAGTCAGTCAGCAGGAGGCTGTGGCCACTGGGTAAAACGATCCTGGAGCCCTTTCCAAATAAAGCAGGGGCTGTGGCACAGTGAGGGCTGGTGACATACATGCTGGATAATGTACTATAAATGGCATGGTCCTCTTCGTGCATTCACCTAACAGAAGCTCAGACGGTCACCCCCTTGATGAGACGACTCCTCTGCGATATGTTAGGAAGAACCAGAGGATCCAGTCCCCACTCTGTTCCGTGCTTACTTATTTTGTTCTTAGTTGTCAACTTTCAGCAACTTGTTGAAAGTTGGGACAGTTATATAGTCCTTTCATATCGCCAGAGAATACTGAGTGCCGAGCAGGCTCCTGGTGTGGTCATGTGCTTGTCGGCTGTAAGAACTAAATGAGGAGTTCCCGATAGTCTTACTTCCCACACTGAAGGAAGCAGGAGAACAGGGCATCTGTGTGGCCCTGACTTCCTCTTTGTCAGCCCTGAAACCCTTGGTGAATGCACTGTCACCGTGGTAGGCTGTTGACTGATGCCACACCCATGTTCCTCTTTGCAAAGCCATAACTCAGCACTGTGAGAGAACCACTTTTGAGCTGCCATGGAAGCAAATGAGGAACCCTTCCCCAAAGAGGATCCGGAAGCCCACCTTTCAGCCCCCAGAGTGCTTTCTGAGGTGTTGTTTGCTCTATACCACGTATCCACTAGTCTACCGTGTTGTTGAGCCCCATCTATTTATAGCAAATCCTATACCTGCCCCTCGAGGTAATGCTGGGAGAAGTATGAATAATACGGTATCTGAATGACTGCCAGAAGAAAAGTATGGCCTGAACCGAAAGACAGTTACATAAATGGAAAGATTAAGCTTGATTTCTACTGATGGAAAAAGAGGCCTTGTGAGCAGGTAGAACTCGTTTTAAAGGCGTACTTCTTCATTCCTGAACTATGTGCACATTATGCAAGACAGACCTCCCATCCAAGTGAGGAACCTTTTATAATGTCTGTTTGAACTCGAGCTGTGCAATTTCAGCTTTAAATCCTATTGGGTTGTTTTCATTTTGGTTTTTGTTATGCTTTTTTTTTAAAATTATTATTAGTCCAGATTCAACCACTGTTTTCCAGACCCAATTATCCTGTTAGAGAAATCATATTAACCCTTTAGAAGAACAGATTGATTTTCCCTTCTTTTCAGTTACTGGGGTAAGGAATCTTCCAAATATTACAAAGTTCAAACCTGGTGACTAAAGATTGTAATAAGAGGGGATGCCTGGTAATTAGAAAGGGTTTATCCTGCTCATGGTGCTAGGCACTTGAAAGTTTAATGATGAGAACAGAAAACACAAAATCCCTTTGTCGTGGCAATGGCGGGTTAGTTGTGGGAACCCATTTTCAGGTTCCTAGTGGCTTTATCCAGCAGGTCTGCATAGAGAGGATGATTAGGACCACCGGCCTGAGTGCAGGTGTCTGAGATGGTCTGCACTTGGCTGTGCTGGGGAGAGGTTTTTTGCTCCACCCCTTGGTGTTTCTATAAATACCTTAGGGCAGAGACAGTCAGGGCCCGTTGTAATGGGTTCCAGGCCCTCACGAGGCTATCCTGTATTTTCTATCTGTTTATCTCCATACTCTAAATCCTTCTATCTAATATTTCCTACTACTCTCACTCAAGAACACTCTGGGGAAATGTAGGGGTGGTGGGTAGCTCTCCCTCAGTAAAGGAAGCAGGCACTATTTCATAATAACAGGAACCTGCTGAGCATGATGTCTGTGACTACAAAAAATCAGACAATGTGGGGCTTTAACCTGGTCCCGAGATTAGGGCAGGAGTCAGTTAGCTGAGCGTCCAGTGCCGAAACCCGAGATTTGGACTCGCAGGATAAATTAGAGTTTACTAGCAAGGGAGAAGAGGAGGGGGAGATGGTTGTGTGTCAGGCTCAGGGAGGATGCCTGCCGTCAGCTAAGGACTGAAGGAAGCACGCGGAGGAGGGAGAAGTGGCTAGAGGTGGAAGAGGGCCTGCCCTTGGAGTGATCAGCTGGGTTAGGGTTCAATAAAGAGCCATTTTATATATGGGGGATGGGAAGGAAGAAAAGCTTTTCCATCTTTGTTTTTGAAAGTGTTGACCATAAGCAGAATCGTGGGCCTCAGAACAGAGGTAAAATGTTAGAGAAGGGGACTCTGGGGAAAGTGGACTATCCTCTCAGCCAAGCCGCTGCCGCCTTGAGGATACGCTCGCAAAAGGGTCATCCTAGCTGGGCTGCCTAACACTCCCCCCCCCCCCCCCCCCCCCCGTCATGGAGAGGTATGGAGAGTCAGGTTGACCCTCACCTGAGTGTCCAGCTATTCCCTACTGAATATCACACAACACTGCCTTAACTGCCTGTGGCCTTAGGGAGGGCTAGAGTATGTCGGCCAGGGAAGACAAGGAGAAGCTCCATCTAGGCAGCCACGGAGAAGCCATCATCCTTGCTGGGTAAAAGCTTTCCAGCTGTGGCTTTTTATTGGGGTGGGGGGTACCCACACTCCTGTAAATAACCCATTACCTATCCTGGTAAGGAAGCCCAATAGATTCATTGGTTCTCCGAGTAAATTTGGGCACAGAGTGAATTGTTTTGTCGCTGGGACCTTAGAAAGAGGGACAGACGTTGTTTCCCCCGGGAAAGAATTTCAGCAACACCTCCTAACATACAAAACGGTTCCTTCCCATTGTGGGAGAAATAGCAGGAAAAAGGCACTGCCAGCAGACAGACAGGCCTCTCCACACACCTCAGGAGAGCTGACAGACATCGGTTCTTGCTAAGCCTTTAACCCTGAGTAAACAGCTGAAGGAGTTGGTGCAAACATTTCATACACGAATGAAGATTACAGTCAAGGTCACTGTGCAGGCCCAGGGATTGTGGGAACTGAGTTGGTGAAGTAGTGGTCCAGCACCCCAGAGATGACCAGCTGCCAATGCCTGGTCTTGGGCTTGGATTAAAACTGGTCCATCCCCAGGAAGACGTCTCTTGACAGTGATAAATAAGTAAGTACATAAATACTATTTTAGTAGTAGTCATTATTACTGATCCTGGCTGAAGTGGCATTTTGATGGTTTTTGATGATACATTAAACCAGCTTTTAAAAATGACTTTTATTGGTGGTCTATATCATCTTATCCCACTCTACCCTCATCCCACTAACTAACAAGATGCCTAACTTCTTAAACAACGTTATTCCACATGCTGTCCCTAGGTATCAGATTGCTCTTTTAATGTTTATTTTCTGTGGGAACCTTCACAAGCTTAGACAGCATTTCTTCTTTCTACAAGGTGTGTAGCAGACACTCTGCTGAGCAGTTTGCAAAACTCCCCGAGCCTGGGAAAAGGTGAAGCTCCTAATTAACTGCCCAGAGAACTGTCTCACAGTGTAAGAACCAGTCAAACGCTTCTGGTGGGTTTTGTAGGACCGGAGGGACACGGTGCATCCTTAATGAACCGAACTAAAACGCTGACGCTTTTCCATGACTCCTGTGAGGACTGCAGATGTCTCCAGCTCTCAAGAGCAATTCTGGAAACCTTGTCCTGTCCCACAGACCCTGGAGTCGTTAGATAAGGTTAGCTTGTAGACACTGCCTGTATTTATTTCAGGGGTACCTTTATTTTTTGAGGGGGTTAACTTTGAGACCATTAAAAGGCAGAGGGGTTTTTGTTTTGCTTTGGAACAAGTGAAAAAACTGCTTTGAAACTTGAAACACACTTGGAATAGGAGTGTTCTCACCTGTTAAACTAAAGGCGAGCAGGTGGGGCGTCCTGTCTTAACGCCGTGGAGAGGAAGGCTTCAGGTTTTCCCCAAAGGAAAGAGGTATAGAAAGTTAAAACTGGAGGAGACTCATTAATGTTTCCTCTCAGTGCTGGGGACTGAATACAGACCCCATATGTGTTAGGCAAACACCTACAACAGAGCTGCAGTCCAGGCCCAGGGAGTTCCCCTTAAGAAATTACCTCATGTGATTAGGGGTAAAAGAGTACTTGCCTGGTGTCCACAGAGCACCGAGTTCTATCCTCAGCATAATAAATACATACACAGAAAGAGAAATAATAAAGGGAAGAGAAAACTACTCCTTCCTGCCATTCACAAACTCCTCCACTGTAAAAGTTACACTGAACGTTCAAACAGGTGAAAACAGACGTAGCCGCCATTCTGCCTCCCACCTCTCTGGTTTTAAATGCCCCAGTGTGACAAGCAGAAGCTTGCAGAAAACTACTGAGTAGACTTCCTTTCCTACGCTGGTGTTTGAGCTAAGTCTTCTTTGCGTCTTTGGCACATTCCTTTTTCCTTTCTCCTTTGCCTGCTATTTTTGATAATGTTATTTTTAATAGCTTGCTAGTATATTTTTACGAGGACTCCTCTTGCCAAATCCAATTAAAAGAACTGTCTGAGGCCTTGTGCTCTCTGGAAGCTGAACAGAGAGTCTGGGATTTAACACCAAGCTGAATCTCCATAATAAGGATTTGCTCATGTGACACTCCCTGATGCTGTCATTTAGAGAAGCATCCTAAATAAAGCACTAAAATGGGTAGGTCACAGGTAGGGAGCCACA